TTTTTATTTAATTAAATTTAGTTTTTTATTAATATTTCTCACATTTCTTATGTGTAAAATTGACACAACTGATTATTTAATTATATTGTTCCCATCCTTTCCATGATAATTCTTATAAAATTGCGTTACTTAATCAAAAGAATAATAAATTGATAGACTACAGTTGACTGTTCCAATACCCAACTTTCCTACAAGCACAATTTTATTATTATAATTTATTTTGGAAAGAAAATTTACTTAATATTGAAATCTGATTTAAATGATCCTTATTGTCTTTACTTTTTTTAACTAAAAAAGTATTTTAATAATCTTCTGAATCTACGTTTTTTCCAAATTTTTGTATTTCATTATAATTATTTTACAATGTAACAATCTCAAAAAGATACAGTAGTGATTATATCGACTATAGTAATTTTGTAAAAAATACTATTCAAATTGCAAAGCACATGAAATTGAAAATCTTTTTGGGAAGAAAAAAACAGTGCAAAATTACATCCTGCAGAAAGTATGGAGCCAAAATGACGATGTGGGCGTTTAATGCTTGTTGAGCCGGCGGGTCGAGTGCTTCGCTCGCTCTCGTTTTTTGTAATGGAATTTATTTGGCAAAATGCTTTGTAAAAGAATCCAGTGCGCGTCTTTTGTTTCCCGAGCGCGCAATGGTGTTGGTTTTCGTCCTCTTTTGCGGCCCACACACTGCAAGACTACCCTACTTGTATTTTTGTGCACAGCAAAGGGCTGCTGCATGAACATGGATGGAACTCGCTCGCTCAAAGGGAAGATTGAATTTCGATAGAAAACGGAGGCTGCCTCTTCGCCATCGAATTATTTCTCTCAGCGAAACTGCCTTCGGTGTCAAAGTGCCTTGCTTTTTGTTCCTTCATTTCGACGTACTTTCATGTTCGACGCTTTGATAAGAGCAAATAAAGTAAAAATGATTCCGAAACGTTTCCCCTGCAAACACGACGGATATGAAATCACTGAAGAAAATTGACAGGAGCGAAGACATCGTGTAAAATAAAACCTGAGTTAAGAAAGTTAGAAAAATACTTTCAATGCTAAAAATATTTAAAAAAAAAAAAATTAATTTTACTCTTTCAAATTTTTTTATTATTTACTTTCAACTTTGAATTTTAAAATTTGAACTGAATTTAGGTTAAAATATTCTAATTTTCTATTAAATTAAATTAATTAATATAGAAACAAAATTTGAGCATAAATGTGATCTAAATTTTTTTGAATATTTATGATATTTTAAATGGAGATTTCCCGTCAGTTTCATTCGCCCTTGCCGCGTTTTAAAGGGCGCGGATTATCCGCATCGCATTAAGATTTCGCCTCATCAGCACACGCCATTGAAAAACCGCAGTCATTGGAGCCGCTCCGCAATTTCTGCTATTGATTCGGTGGTGTGCATAAGTGTAAACGGCGCTCTCGGTTTTATGTTTTTAATTATCGCCGGCCCCTTGTGTTTGATTAAAATTCACAGCCGCCGGCTCGGCGAGCGGGACGAGGAAAAAAAATTAGAGAACGTGCGCGTCGGAACGAGCAACTTAATGTTCGCGGCGTGCTTTAGTACGACGACGAGTCGTGGGATTAATTTGCATTTGGTGAATGTGTATTTTGACCACGTTTAAAACTTGCAAATTGACTCGCGAATTCATTCCTGGAATATAATTCGGGTCTACCATAATTTTACGTTTTAACTTTAATGCGACTGTATTTGAAAGTTGAAAGTAATAAAATTCATTGATAGACACAGCAACTAATTTTAGTTTATTTGATAGCCTTTTTTTTGTAATAAAATCGTGACTTGCAAATAATTTAAAAAACATTGTAAGTGCAATTAAATTGTTTAATTTTAATATCCAATTTATTATATAAAATAAAAAGTCATATTTTGATATAAAAAAGGTAGAAATATTTAATATAAATAATGAAAAAAAAAAATTAAAACAAATTTTTGTCTTCAAATTGCTAATTTTAATTGATTAAAATTGTTAAAAATTGATAATATTAAACTTGGGTTTTTATATTAAAGAATTATCGAGGACAAAACGATGATGGTTTTTTCTTCAAATTCAATATCCTCTCATTTGAACAGTTCGCCATTCTTGTTTAACCAGCAGAAATTAAATTTTGCTTTTTCTCGTCACGATGCACTCATCAGTGCCGGGGAGGAAGCAGTGGTGTGGAAACAACTCGCACACTGCAGCCTACCCTTGATGGTTTTTGCTCATCCCTTTTCACATAATGAGCGGAACGAGGGTGGGAATTGAGGAGTTGTGGCGACGAGCCTCTCTTTCAAAGGCAGCCGAGGAAGGAAAACAGCACAAGATGAAATCCTCATACAGAACATACACGCACTCGTGTAGCACGGAAAGCCGCAGGCATTATTTTTAGCCGCGAGAATCATCCCCCTTTCCGAAGAAAGATAATCCCTTAATTCTCATGCAACTCGCGAGACTCGGCGTGGCGGAAAAATCGGCGCTGATGATTAAGCGAATGAATGAGGTTATTGACGCGACTGCACTCAAAAAGTAGCAACCGTGACTTACTACGGCGGAAGCTTCTAATCCGCCAAACTTGGTTCGAGCCTCTTCTCAATATTAACGTGAATATAATGAAATTTTGAGAGGAGGTAAATATCAGGGGCGTTTACTCATAAGTTCTTGATTAAAATTTTTTGGAATTTTGTTCTGAATTTTATTGTTAGTTGGATTGGAAAGTCATTTTAAAATTAATTTTATTTTTTAATAAAATATAAAAACAAAAAATGAATTACGTAACTGTATTTTTTTTCTATATTATTCTAAATTCATTAACACACATTAAATATTATCAATTAGTAAGTTAAAATGTCTTTAAAAAATAAATAAATAAATTAAGTTAAATTAAAAACATTACAATTTTTAAGTAAATGCAAAAATAACTTTTGAAATTATTCAAATTATTAATAAATTTTGGGCTTTTCCTCATGTTTTATGACATTTCAACGGTAATGAAGCACTTAAAATTTAATTTTAATATAAGATGTGAGGCTTTTTAAAATTAATTTTAAGCTATATTGAAGCCCCGTCAAAGCCTGTCTCACCGAGCTTCACCGTTTGTGACGGTTGACCCAATAAAATATCCCCCTTTCTGCTTTGCAACTTCGCCACTCTCATTAATAATTTCCAAATAAATCAATAGGCACGTCACACAAAACTCAACGCCGTGCATTAACGGACGAAACAAATTGAAAGTTTAATGCGGATGAAAAACTTGGAGCACCGCTTCGCAGAATGAAATATGGCAATAATCCTGACGGGCACGGCATCAATCAAGCGCACACCCGCTTCGGCAATTTTGCAAATTGCGTGCGAAAATGACGCAAATCCTCTCGCACTCGAGAGAACGCCGATAAATCTGGCCGAACAAATGAGCCGCGATTTATCTCGCGCAAGGATTCCTGCGAACAACACCGAGTCTGTATGTGCGGAAGGAGGTGGCGCGAATTTATGCCGAGTGAGGCAGAGAAAGCCGGGGCTGACGGACGTTGCGGTGTGCGTCAGTCAAAGAACGATGTTAAGCTCCTCAAACGAGCTGAGGCAAACGGCCCCCCTGTTCCAGATTATAATCGCAAGCCCTTGCCACCTTCTGAAAACGACGTGCTGCTTTCGCTGATAAAAAAAGTCTCGTGTTTACACTTTGTGCTTTTTGCATCCGGCTTTATGCATCATTTGCATATTATGTATTACTTTTTAAAAAGCAAACTTCAATTATAATTAGCCGGGCTCTCTCATTTAATTTTTTAATGAAAATTTAAAGGGGAATGTCACTATGTCTTGTGTCTTGTGTGGCGTTTTAGTTTGATCTCAAAATTTTTAATAATATAATGGAATTATGGTAAAAGAATTTTTTTTTCCGGAGATAATTTTAGTTAAAGAAAACCACATTAAAAGAGAATATTTTATGTACATATTTTTCTAATTTCAAAGATTACAAAAGAACCTATCGTGGAAGAAAAGATGATAAAAAACTGTTAAATGATAAATACAGAAACAAATTAATAAAAAAAAGTTTTAATATAAAAATTAAAAAATGATTTTTAGAATAATATTCAATGTAGATAAAATAAAGTAATTTTAAAAGAATTATATTATTATTTAACTTACTTTTTAAAAAACTGACAAAGTAATTGAATAAAGATGAGATTTAAATGGAATGCACGCTTTCTTAATTCTTGCTGTGAAACTGCAAAAGTCAAAAATTTTAATTTAAAATTTCTCTTTTTGTATAACTGGAAAAATATATTCTCTATAGTTTTCTAAATCTCTTTTAAAAGAACTTTTGTGGCGAATTTTACTGAAAGAATTGCAGTAATTTATAATTTTGTACAAATCAAGCTTGGCTTATATTTGTGAATATCAAGGTTAAATCGACTTTTCTTGTTTTCCTCTGCAAATCCGCCACACTTTGAGCCATAAATTTGCAAGTAATCAGAACGCACGGCCCGAGTTGGAGGTTTTACTTGGCGAATCACAGTTTTCCCGAGAACATTTAAACAACTTTTCTGCACTGCGGAAACTTTCAAGAGGAAAAACATGCACCACAAACAGTGGCAGTCGGTTCGTAGGTTCTAGGCATGGCCGTACATTACGTACGGCGAGTGGAATTATTAATTCTGCCGCGCACACACACAAGGTCTACCGGCAATAAAAATTCTTATCCACCGCGCACACATATATTAATATGATCCGGCAAAGCAAGTCGCAGAGCGCGGCGGCGAAAATGTGCTCCGCCGAGAGAGAGCTCGGCTAAAAAGTTAATATAAAATTCCAGGGCGAAATTTAATAACAAGGTTGCCGGTGGTGCAAGAGTTTGCCCAACGGAACAGGCTTTCAGAGACGCCCAACGCAACTTCCATTGGCTGAATTTAATTTAACCGTTTTAAAGCGGGCGAAATTGGATGAAATATAAAGTGGAGGTTTCATGGAGTTTCAGTCCAATATGGTACTCACATAGTCCACATTGACACCCTCGAGTTCATTTGAGGTCGACTCAGATTCACATACCTGCAACAGAAATCACAATTAGGATCAGATTTTGGTTTGGCATACAATTAAATTAATTTTGATTTGAAAACTGATGGAATACTAATAAGTTTATTAATTAAAAATAATCCAATAGCTTAGAAAATTAAGTATTTTTACAATTTTACTTGGAAAAGTCCTCACGTATTTTGAATTGTAACAACACAGGTCACTAAAATCCATTGTCAGAAAGTTAATTTTAAGCAAAATAATACAATTAAACAAGTGGTTCTTCAAAATTAAAGCGGAAATATGCATTTAAGTAATATAAACAAACTTGATAACTCTTGAAATATAAAAGAAAATAATAATTTGAAACAAGTTTGGGAAAAATTATACAATTTTATATGGATAAAAAAATTGAAAACTTTAGATAATTGAAAAATTGAAACCAAATAAAGCTCGTTGCAAAAAAAAAAAATAATAATAAAGAAATAAGGACAACTGACCCCAAAAGGCAACCTGCGATCTACTGGTAATTTAAAAACGTAGGGTTTTATCAAGTCCAAACTAAAGCTGTGGAAGGAATTAATAAAAAATTAAAATAGGGAGAATTTAATTTTAATAAAAAAATATTGCAGAAATTAGCAAAAGAAGTCAGTCAACAGCTTCACACTGTGACTTTGCCAGAAATTTTCAGGGCAATGAACCCGATGATTTTTCTAGCCAAATCACAGAAATCTGCCGTACTAGCAAAGTCACAGTAAAAAGCTGTTGACTGACTCATTTTGCTTAATTAATTTCTGCTTTTTGTTTATTGAAACTGAATCCTCCCAATTTTATTTTCAATTCTTTATTAATTCCTCTCACTAAGCTTAAGTTTGGACACAACAAAACCCTAGATTTCAAGCAGACCATAGGTCACCTTTTGGGGTCAGTTGGTCCTTTATTTTTTCATTTTTTCTTTGCAACGAGGTTCACCCAGTTTCAATTTTTAATGAAATCCACCCCAAATGTTACCATTCAATTTGATAATTATTGGCAGTTAATTGATAAGTTTATATAGAAGTTTTTTTTGGCATTTTTTATCAGTGTTAAAAAGATTTTATTCTAATTGTAAGCTCAATATTGTTGTTTTTCTCTTTTTTTTTGCATTCAAATTTATCATGGAAAGTTACTCAAATAGGAAAGATTTTCCATTTTGATGAAATCTGCGCCTGTGTATATCAAAACCGGTGTCATACACGTTTGATATTTAGTAGCGAGCTGGTTTTGATTGCATTAAAGCATGCGATACACTAGGCTACGGACGACGAGTGATGAAAATGGAGAAAAGCAGCAGCCGCACAGTAATAAAATCTCGAATATGTATGCTAATTAAATGCTGCATGCAAACAAGAAGGCAAAAGTACGTCAAAAGCAGCAAAGGTTTAAGCCGTGTGTGACACCCGAGGCTGCTGTCCCGAAAGGTCAATTTATGCCATTTGCACGGCGGCTCGAAATGCAAAGTGGCCGGACGGAGCGAGGGACCTTTTGCTTACTTTTTCTGCATATAATGTTTACAAAAGCGCCAAAATTGAGTGCGAGCTGAAAAATGGGCAGCTTCTTTTTTGCCGGCCTCTTTTTTCGCGCGCTCCAGTTTCACTTAAGAAGAAGGTCGCGCGTTTTCCCCAGACGTCTCGTGCGTTAAAACTTGGGTTTTCTTGTGCGCGCGCCGAGTTTTAACACTTTTGGCGACGCTTTGCGAATAAATGTATGCGACCCTTCCTTCGTCGGTTCTCTCTTGCAAGAAAGGAAACCTTACACACAGTTTTTTTGCGGCTATTTTACAACTTTGGATGGATGGCGGGCATAGTCGTAATGCTTTTAACACATACCCTCTTTTTTTTCAAGAGAACGATATTCGCGTTTTACTACATCTTGAAGTGAAATAAAATTATTTTTTCCTTCTTCTTGAACTAAAAAATTGTTTTCCACTAATTTTTACAATGTAATTAAATTTTTAGAAAATAAATGCAATCAACGTCAAACTAAAATTCCATATTTTGATTAAAACGTATAAAATGGATTAAATTTGATCTTCAATTTCCCTCTTCAAGGATAATTCTGTAGAAAAAGTTGTGATTTTTGGATTTTTGTTTGGTAAAATGTGTAGCTAAATCAACCAAGATTAAATGTGGCAAATAATTGGTGACTTTTTTTTAATTCGAAAAACTCAATGCTCCCAACCATAAATGGTTTATTTTTTTAATATTTTATATTTCAAATTATGTTTTATTAAGCAATGAAACAGTAAACAATCTAACAAGAGAAATTAATTAATTTTTTTTGAAGACAATGAGCTTTATTTTACTTTGCTTTCATTTTGTTAGTCAGTTGTTAGTTATTTCAAAAATTTAATCAAGTTCTTTAGGTTCTTCAGCAGGATCATATTAATTTGGTTATTGATTAATTACTTTTAAATTATTGCAGTTCAAAAAAAAAAGTTCTTTTTAATCAACAAAAGTTGGTAAAAATTGCATTATATTTAAATAACAAACTTATTTCTTTATCATTTATTTCTTTAATACAACTTTTTCAATATTTTTTACTATAATTTTTTATACCTTGTGTGGGCAAATCATAATAGTAAAAGCGTAAATTGCGTTCTTGACATTTAGAAGCGAGCTTGCAGATTACCAAGAACTTTGAATGGTAGAGAGAAGCGTTATTTTTCAAGTGGAGTTAATGAGGGTAGAAAAACTCTGACAAGCACACTTTTTATTTCTTGGAACAATTTTTTGCAACCTGTTTTCCTGGTGAGCGCGCGTGCAATTTTGTTTTGCCAGACCGTCTAATTGCGAAGGAAGCTGCAAGTACTCGACACACTCGCACACGAGACGGACAAGAAGGGCCTCAACAGCCGCTTGTGTGCATAATGAGGCCAGCCATTAGCGAGGAAAAGCAGCAAATAATGCAAAGGTCGCCGCAAAGTCGACACACACTTGCGGTCGTGCCAAAATGTGCTTCACTCTTTGACACGGAAAAATAATGCTACCGTTGACCGTTGCGACTTGAAAAGAAAAAAATTGAACTCGTGACCATCACCTCAAAATCTATTGTTTGAATTTTTTATTTCGTGTACATAATAATTATTCTATGCTTACGCAAAATCAATTAAATAATACATGATGTCAATTTCCTGAAATCTTCATCTCACATTCCATTTCACGTAATTTTTAATTTTTTTGACGCTAATGTAAGTTACAGAGCTCCCATTTAGTTGGAGCCGTACTTGATTCTTGATATTTAATTTTGTCGTTTGTTTGTTTGTCCAAATTTTTACATCACATTGTGAACATGAATTTTGAAAACATTTATTTGTTACTGACTAGGGGTAGCTGATAACGAAATCATTATTAATGATTTAAAATTTAGCTGTAATCATTCAAAAAGCAAATATTTATTAATTTTTAATTACCGCTATTAAATTATACATGCAATTAAAAATTAAATCAATCAATATTTAACATTAACAATTAAATTTTGAGAATTCATTAAATAAATAATATTGAAACATAATTTATTAAATTAAATAATAGTAAGTTTAGTATAGTTGTTTAAATTATGTATAAAAATAAAGTTATTTTATTAACTTATTCAATTGTTTGCTTTATGTTTTAATGCCTTTTTACCCTCCACGGCTAATGTGTCACAGGGCATTGCCATGGAGGACTCGCAAAGTTGCTTTCACGAGTAGCAAAAGTGGCAGAGAATCGATCTCGGCTCGGCAAAAACCGCATACATATGTACCGAGATCAGATTCGCGGAACTCGCGTCAGATTTATGGTGGCTTTCGAGGCAGTAATGCGCCCGCTCTCACTTGGCCTGCTGATGAAATCGTTCACATTGATCGACCCACCAAAGAAAGAAAGAGCACTTTCGCTCTGGCCATATTTTTTTCTTCCACCCAGTCGAGATTTCCTCTTTTTTCTGTGAGCAAATCGCGGTGAATCTTTTCTCCTTCGGTATTCAGTGTTGATGTCGTGCATAAAAATGGATTTTATGTGGCTACAAATGAAAATTTTTATCGCCCCCGCTCTCTCTCGCAATTCATTTTATTGTGTCCGAGCGAGACGTCTTTTTGATATTCTGCGAGGGCCGTTTTTATTGGCGCCAGACGATGTTTTGTTTATATCAAAAACGTCAAGTCCAGGAGGAAAGATATGGAGAGATGCATCCCCGCGGAGCCGCCCGAAAAATATATCCAATAAAAGCTATCGAAAGCAATATTTCCTCGGCCAAAGTTAGGTGAACAAACATCTCGAGAAAGGAGGAACGAGACCAGCCATAAATTTGAATGGACGCGCCCCAGACGATTGCGAATCGGACCGCTGTCGCAGAGCATTATTTTGTTTGGGAATTTCCTCCTCAATCATATGAGAATAAAAGATACAGGGATATACAAAATATACAGTCTTGAATCTAGAAAAGGCATCGGAGAAGAACAATAAAATCACAGAAATAGAGAATGCTTAGATATTTATAGAAATAGTTTAATCACAAAATTTGTTTTAATTTTTTCTTTTGTTAATGTAGGTGCAAATTTCATTGCAAACATCAATCGAATGGTTTTTAGTTTTTATTTTTTAGAATATAATCAATTTTAAACTTAGTGTTTGTTTTCTCCAAAAATTATTGCCTTTTAAATTTTAGAACAATAATTTTATGTAAAAAGTCTTTTTCAAGTAAATTTTAGGATTAAAAAACTCCCTTTTTTTGAGCTACATTTTATCAGTCGATCATAATAATAATTACTGGATTATATTGTATTAAAACCATTGAGAGCCTTAAACCTCCTTGAAAATATTCGTATTAAAAGTCTTTAAAAAATCCCACCAAACAAAACCTTGTTATTTTTTTTACCATTTTTGAGACGATCCAAAACACAATATTATTTTCTTTACATTTCCCATCAATTTAAAAACGCACTAAAACTTTCGAGATGAAAAGTAGAGAACTTTTATACCACCATCTGTATACTAACTTATAACGTTGATCGC